GTGAGTCCCTCCCCTCCCTGGTTTAGGGTTTAGGGTTTAATTAGGGTTTAGGGTGTTAACGGACTGATTCATAAGCCCCCGAGCCTCCAGCGCCAAGTTCTGCTCGGCAGCCGCAGGTGCCTTCTCCGGGAGCGCCTTGGTCTCAGCACAGGGAGGGATTCAGGGTGCAACCTACAACGAGGTGACGGCGAATGGATTATTCAGGCCGGAGGCCTCTTTATCTGCTGCCCTTATGACTTCATATAGCCCCTAGATACCCTGATAAAGAACCCCGAAGATATGCCCTATAATGGTGCGTAGACAAGCTCCCCCCCAACTCCCGGTGCAATAGCTGAGCCCTAGGAGCTTGGGGTTGGGTGTGTAGCGTTTCTGTACGGGGCCTCAGAAGCCCTGTAAAAGCTGTGGAAGACAACTCCGCAGAGTCCTACTTCGTTCTGTGGGGAACCGCAACAACTCACAAGTTTCCGTATGCTTCTAAAATCGCAAAAAGGACCCTTGCCTCGGGCAAGAACCCTTCAATTTGTGGCCCAGGAATGGCCCTGAGGCTCGGAGAGGGCCCGGCAATTCAAGTTGTTCACTCGAAATTTTCCAAAAAAAAAAAGGCGTCGTTCGAACTTTTCCCACCAATCCCCAAAAGCTGCAGTGCTCCGTGAGCTTCCGGGCCGGGCCTTGGGAGGCCTCCCTCATCCGAGAAGGGCCTCGCCCACGCGGACTCGAGCCAGTCAGGCTCATCTTTTCGAAGCAACAAAACTACTTATAAATTTATTAATAATTAATTAGTAAGTAATTAATAATTAATTAATAATTAACTTCAAACAACCCTTTTGAGTCGCGGGGTTTTGGTGAAGGGTCAAGCCAGAAGTGGAACTGCGCCCGCTGATCGCGAGAGGCCAGAGGCAAGAGGTTGGGTTCGTTTTTGCTTGTGGCCCTGAAAGGGTCCGGGAGGGAAAACCCATCCCGGCTTGCCCCATGCTTCCGCATTGCTGGATGGCCCCAGATTCTGGAATTATAGGTGCCGAGCAGCCACCTGGAATGGGGTCGGCTCGCTGAGCTCGATGTTTGTACAGTTCGTGTAGTTCTGGTAAAGCCGATCGAAAGTTTCAAAGCCGCAAGCCCCTTATAGCACCCCCAGCTCAATAGCCTTGAACCCCCCAACTCCGCATAGAGCTGCCATAACCCAAATCATAGTTCCGTATATGTACATACACAGAAGTCAGAATGCCGCAGTGTCTCTCAGAAGACTGAAGCAATCATCGAGATCCCTGAACTAGACCCAGGGACCGAAATCGGGTGCCCTTTTTTTCGGTTTTGGGGGAAATAAGGGCCTACTCTGGGTCCTAGTGAACCACATCCGCAGGGTTCCGGCCACTTCTCTGCCGGCGCTGGCGGCCGCCGAGATGATCTCCTCCGACCAGCGCTTCGCAGATTGCATCGACGTCGGAAATGCGATACAAGCCTCGACCCCTGCCAGCAAATCGAAAACAAAAGGGGGGGGGTTCTCAGCACTGGCGATTGTTTGGTGTTCGGGAGGGCGTGTAAGTGTATTTCCCAAAATAGGGGTCCCTCTTTTCTACCTCCAAATAGAAAGAATCCCCTTAAAGGGACCCCCAAGGGTACCCCTATTTTCGGCAACCCCCATAAGGATTCTTATAGCCCTAAACCCTAAACCCTAAACCCTAAACCCTAAACCCTAAACCCTAAACCCTAAACCCTAAACCCTAAACCCTAAACCCTAAACCCTAAACCCCAAATTCCTAAACTTCGAAGCTCCCGCCGAGCTCTTCCGACCCTACGCTCCTCCGTCTGCAGGATCATGGCGTCATCCGCCTTTTGGGTGGCCAAGACCTGGAAGCCACGCATCTGCGGGGTTGGGGTTTAGGGTTTAGGGTTTAGGGTTGAGGGTTTAGGGTTGAGGGTTGAGGGTTTAGGGTTTAGGGTTTAGGGTTTAGGGTTTAGGGTTTAGGGTTTAGGGTTTAGGGTTGAGGGTTTAGGGTTTAGGGTTTAGGGTTTAGGGTTGAGGGTTGAGGGTATAGGGTTTAGGGTGCAGGGTTCAGGGCTTAGGGCCTGAAATAAGCATCACCAAGTCTTCAAGGGCTTCCATGTCACGACCCCTACCAGAAGCATTCGGCGGCTGCCAGGAATTCTGTGAAGCCACCTAAGCCCTAAACGCTAAACCCTAAACCCTAAACCCCAAACCCCAAACCCTAAACTTCAAACACCCGAAGCCCTGCATGGCACTCGATTCCACAAACTCCTACGCCCGAGAGCCAAGGAGCGAGATCTTGGGGAGGCTTGGCAGCTGCAGCCTCATCCTTGAGGTGGGGAAACCCTAAACCCTAAACCCTAAACCCCTAAACCCCTAAACCCTAAACCCTAAACCGTCATGTTTTGGATTGTTGCTTAATCTATTCTATGATATATCCTTGTAGAAGGATTGCCAAAAAAAAAGGATAAGAAACTCCTCGGGCTCCTGCACTCGCTACATCAACGTCAGTCAGAGACCAGATTCCCAGATTCTCAGCAGCTGACCTGCCCTACCTTCTGCCCGCCGTGGTCGCGGATGTGGGCCTTGAATCCACGGCCAAACGGTTTCGGGTTTAGGGTTTAGGGTTTAGGGTTTGCCCTAAACCCTAAACCCGGCACCCCGTGTACTTGCCGCAGATTTATGAGCTATGGGCCTGGGGTTGCAGCTCTCTGCAGAATCTGCGGAGACCATAACAGGGACATTCATACCAACGAATCTTCCAGGCGATGAAACGCAGCAGCAACGCTGTATCGTGTTACCCTGTGAATCCCTTGTACTACCGGTCACCTGTGAAAGTCGGAGTCATGAACCACAACGATCCAAACACGCCAAAGATACCTGGAAGGTCGCCTCTGGGAGAGTCGGGTCTGGAGTCTTTTCCTGCCAGAGCTCAGTTAGGGCTTAAGGCTTTACGGTTCTAGGGTTTATTAGGGTTATAGGGTTTAGGGTTATAGGGTTGAGGGTTTAGGGTTTATCATGGGTTCAAGGGCCACCACACACCTTCTGAAGGAAAGTGGAACTCACAACGATGAGGATCCCTGTCTTTGAGCGCAGGCGCAGGCGGGACGAGCACACGAGGACCGTTTTTTTTCTTGCCGATGCGCTGTGGCGTCGATGTTAACTGGTGAGCTCCAACCTTCTAAGCCCCAAGCCCCCTGCAGCCCTAACACCTAAACCCTAAACCCTAAACCCTGAACACCATGAAGCCGTAAGAGCGGAGGCGCGGGAGCAGCGGAGCAACCCAGCGGAGCTGATCTATCGTGGAAGGTCGTGCTGGTAGTGCTATATGTAATAAGGTATGCTGCGTAACTAAGGGATACTGGGCCGGGTAAAGTTACCCTAAACCCTAAACCCTAAACCCTAAAAGCCTAAACCCTATAAACCCTAAACCCTAAACCTTAAACCCTTCCAGGGCAACTTCCTAGCCCCTCTGGCCTCGACAACTGTTCTGTTTCAAACCGACGTTTCACACCCAACAAACAGAAGAAGCCCTAAACCCTAAACCCTAAAACATAAACCCTAAACCCGAGAACATATTACATCTCTGCGACCTGGCAAACACACCTTTCAAGGGTAGCCACATGGTCCGTTTGTATCCCTTGTATACCCTTATATGCCCCTTATATACCCTGTATCTCCTATACGACCCAATGGCTCATACATCAGAACCCCTTGAAGGAGGTCAAGGTCCATATTAAAAGAGCCCATATAACTGCCTAGAATCAGAACCCGCAGCATCCCCAAAGCCCTATAAAACCCAGAACCTTGAACCCTGAACCCCGATAGGATCTACCAAGGCCCGGGTCCCTAATTCTTCAGCTGCAGGTGGGGGGGTACACGACTGCGGTGACTCTTTTTTTTAAACCGATGCAACTGCATTCCTCACGGGAGGTGCGCCATGGATGCACAACGGAATGGCTGAAGGTATATTGGAGTTTGCAGGGGGAAGATAGCGGGAAAAGCCTCACCCCCCGCCCGTCATCAACAGCAGCATACTCTCCCAGTTACGTTGATCTGGGCCGGTGTATCCAGCTCCTGTGTGAAACGCATCGGTGCGTGGTGCAGCCATGCTTCTGTGGTCACTCTCTCGAGCAAGCCCATGCAAGTAGCTCCCGTGCTGTTCTTCAACCCCCCCGAAAAAGTCCGAAACCCTAAGCCCCAAACTCAAAACCCTAATCCCTAAACCCTCCATCAATGGCATAGGAGAGGCATCTCCGGAGACAGAGTCGCAGCACTCAGATCTTGCTGTTGCGGCGCGTGGACGGAATCACCGCTACATGAGCCTTAGCGGTGGCCCCAAAGATGTACGAGCCCGGGTGCAGTCTTCAGGGCCCGAGTCAATTGGTGGTACTCAGCTTTTGCTGAATGATCGTCCGTTTTGGGTACCCGGAATGTACTGTGATAAGATGACATAACTCCGACATTATCGCCTAGGCTTCTGCATGACACGGGGCAGCTTGACAGCCAGGCAGCTGCTGCATGCTACTGGGTCAGAGAATAACGATTGCCTCTTGGAAGGTCCCAAAAACAGCACTACGAGTACGGTTCACAGTCGGGTTTAGGGCTTAGGACAAAAGGCTCGGCCCTTTTTTCATCCCAGAGTCGATCACCACTCCATGAGCCCAAGTGGCAGGAGCGGTGTCCGGGTCCCGCACGAGCAGACGCAGCTCACGTCGAAGCAGTGCCGCCGTCCTATGAGGTCTGAACATGCGATACTTCGGCCTGCTCTTGGCTGTACATCGGAGCAGGCCGGCGGCTTCTCAAGCCAGTGCAAAACACGAATTTGAAAATCCGGAAGCAGGCCACGGGCCAACTTGGCTGTGGGTCCGAGTCCCGCTAAGACTCCAAGGCTCACGCTCTCCAGCAGGCGAGCAGATGGTACCCGATGAGGAGGCTTGACCGTCCTCACTGGGTCCCTAAGAAGATTGCACACTGTCCAACTACCGTTCCTCGGGAGGCCCCTCAGAGGCGCGGCCTAGCTTTGTTTCTGCGCCTGAGGGTGCTCCTTTGGAACTCGGAAAATTGTCGCCAAGGCGTTGGCAATGGGCCGAATCTTGCTCGTCTGCCGTTCGTCCATCGACACGAGCTCGTCGTAGGATTTGACTCCTGACATGGAGGCGACGCAGGAAGTGCTGCATAGGAGGGACAAAATCGCACGATGGTCACATCAGCCATGAATGCCGAGCGTCCCATAGATTGGGCTTTCTCCCCGAGCATGAAATCTTGCTTGGTGCCTCGTGCGGAGCAAGCAATTGAGCTGAGCCCAGGATCGCACCCAGTAATACTAGTATGGATTTAGGCACCCCAAAACCCTATTTAGTAGTCTGGGGCTGTAAAAAAAAGGATGGAAATGGGCTTGTCCCGAATATTGTTATCGTTTTTTCTACTCCTTATCGTTTTACAGTGTTTGCACACAAAACACAGTATCTTTGCCTAGAATTCTTATCGTTTTACAGTGATTGCATGCACAAGGTAATGCTTGGGGGTACATGGCTGGCTTGCATTCCAAAGCCTAGGCGGCTTCAACATCGAGCCTACAGCCGTGGTTTGAAGGGTTATTTAGAGTCTAGCCCCCCAAACCTGAACAACCCATCGGCCCTCAGAGCCAAAGACCCCGAAATGTCAGCCACAGCGAGGCTTGTCAGGGCGGTTCACTTCCTAGAGATCCGGAAGCGTTGGCCACGGAGAGGTTTCTGAGGGGGGTTCACCCAGACTGCAAAAACCCTGCAAAATGTGATCGTTTCATTTTACTCCTTATCGTTTTACAAGCTAAATGGCTACTCAGGTGCACTCCTTTCTAAACCGCAAGCCGCGGGGTTCTTTTACAACCCCTAGTGTTTTTTGGTACCTATTTCCATAATAGTAATACAAATGGACCCTCTGGGGCACTGTCACAAGTATTTGGTATGGTCCAGCGTACGGCGACCCTCACTCTCAACTCTCAATCTCCACAGCCCCAAATCTCAACCGTCCAATTCCCAGCAGGCCCAGCAAATGAAACATGTCGAGCCCATACTCCAAGCCTAAACCCTAAACCCTAAACCCTCAACCCTAAACCTCGCATACTCCACATCCCAAGATGCCTTATAAGAGGTTGGGGACTTTGGGGGGCTTGCAGCGTCGTTTCAGCGCGCCTTCAATGATGTGGAGCTTCTTGGCCATGGCGAGACCGATCGTCACCATGACGTTGACAGCTTGCTGTCGGGGGGGAGGCTGCGTCACACGATCCTTGGCCTCCACAGCGCTCAAAAATCCAAATATACATGTATATCTTATATAGATATATACACACACACATCTCTCTCTATATATATATATAAATGCAGTCTGCTAACGTCGAGTAAACCCATACATACATATATATATATATATATAGAATATATACATGTCAAATGTGATATTCATATAATTTAGTATGATGTGGGGGGGGGGGGCTGTGGGGGACTCGGAAGATGTTGGTGGCTTGCTGGGGGGAATCGTAGTGAGCAAGAGGGGGAAGGTGCCACAATTCAATAACAAGCGATTCGGAGACGCGACATGCACCCTTGGGATGTAGGGTTTAGGGTTTAGGACTTTGACCCAACACATCCTGGCCCAACAAGCCTCACTACGGCCCTGCTGAACTCACGGACTCACCACGGTTTTAGGGTTTAGGGTTTGGGGTCTAAGGTTTAGGGTTTCCGGGAAGGTTTACAGAGGTCTCAGAGGCCTCCAACGCCAATTTCTGAAGGGCGTAGGCGTTTGGCCGTTGCTGCTTGTCAAAGGCTGCAAAAGGATCCTCCGCATGCTCCTGGAAATGCACGGCGAGATTAGCGATTGCGCCGGGCAGAGAGTTTAGGATGTTTAGGGACGTGCTCTGCGGCAACAACGAGGTACGCATCTAGACCCAAGAGTAACGAGTAACCCATGAATAAAGCGAAGAAGCTACTCTGGGTAGTAATTAAACCATACGCACCATCGGCTCGATGCCTAAACCCCAAACCTTACCAGGTCATCGGCATCAGGCTCCTTCAGGGCAGCACCCAGCACGGAGGCATCTTCCAAGCCGCTGTTGATGCCTGGCCAAGCCACAGAAATTTGGGGGTTACGAATGAAAATAAGGGGCCCCGAATATAGTCCCTCAAATAGAAGGATTCCCTTATAATAAGCATTTGGGTTTTTCTCATGGTTCAGTGGCTGTAGATTGAAGCTGCGCCTTCACAAACCCAGGTGCAGTAGGCCATTGTACGTGCTCGGGCCGTCTTGCGACTACACTGCGCATCTGTGTTCCCTCAGTTCTTCACCCGTGAATGGTTTAGGGTTTAGGGATACCCTGCCCCTCGAGGTAAGGGACCGGTCGACTCTTGCATGGCGAGAAGATGTTTCAGAAACGTCGGGTCTGTGGCAATCACCGATGAGACCCAACAAGCAATGCGAACCTGCCGTTCTGTATAATGTTGCAACAGGGTTTAGGGTTTAGGTTTTAGGGTTCAGGGTTTCAGGGCTTGTTGGAAAACAGCCTTTGGTGCCCCAGGCTCTGGGCCTTCGCCTGTTGCGGGCTGCACTGCATGGGCGGCATCACCGATGAGGCATATCCAGCCTGCTTTCTCAAGTCGTGCCAGAATAGAGTCATATAGGTTTAGGGTTTAGGGCTTAGGGTTTAGGGTATAAGATGTCATATGTGTACGGCTTACACGTTTCTGTGTCAAATACGGGTCTTCAGCCAAAGATCATAAGATATCCGAAGAAAAGAAGCACCGCAGAACAATGTAGGGCGATCCCTCTTGAGAGTCATACATATATATACATGACTACCTCAACATTGCCCCTTTGTTTCATATTGTGGGTATTCCACAAAACAAAGGCACCCCTGAAACGCCCCTGATTCTACCCCCAACAATCCCCAAAATACGACTAAGATCATTGTTATAGGAAAGCCCCCCCCCCCCCCCCCCCAAAAAAAAAAAAAAAAAATATATATATATATATATATATATAAATAATAATAATAATAATAATAATAATAATAATAATAATAATAATAATAAAAGTACCCCCAATGGTCGGCAGCCAGTAGAGCCGCCTGCAGGGTTCAGGCAGGAGCATTTCACCACGACGCCGCCAAAGGCCCGGCAGTCGTAGTACTTCCGGTAGGCCTCGGCTGGTTTAGGGTTTAGGGTTTAGGGTTTAGGGTTTAGGGTTTAGGGTTTAGGGTTTAGGGTCTCCGGGCCTTGGGATGCACCTTCAATGAGTACATTGGGGACGACATGAACCCTTTTAGGGTTCATGCTTCAATATACCTTCATTGAGAAATATAGCATAGGGCCTAAAAGGGTTCATGCTTCAATATACCTTAATGAGAATTATAGTATGGGGTTTATGACCCCAAATTTAGGTCCCCAAGGTACAAGTACTCGCTCTGATCTCAATTTTGCGACACTATGACACCACCACGATACCGACTACCACAAAGGCTTCATCGACGGCTCCTTAATCCCTGTTCCCCTAGGAAGAAAAAAGGATCCTTTTTGTTTATATATAAGAAAGCCCATAACCCAAAAAGTAAAAAGGATCCCGAACACTGATTTAGGCTATGGTTGTGAGTGCTGCTACAGCTCTCTTGCTGCCACTACTGCTAGGTCACTGCTACTATGGACGGCCAGGACTACTAGCCGCACCACCACGAAACCACAGTGCAAGCCAGCGTCCTGCAAAGCCAGCAATAGACATAGGGAGTGCTGGGGTCAAAAAGCCACATCCATCATGTGAATTGACACGACTTGGCCCCCAACCTCGTCATCCAGCAGGTTGTCGGCCACGAACTTGGCATGAGTCTGCACGTACTCCTCTGAGTTGTGCTTTAAACCCTGTGGAAATTATTCATGAATAGTTTCCTTTATAAGGAAAGAGGGAAAACAAAAAAAAACACAACCCAGTCCTTCAGCTTCTGGACGTTGGCGTCGGTCGCCTCTTCGCCAGTGATGAACTCCTCATCCGATTCGGGCAGGACCCGCAGGGAGATGCTCCACTCGCCATTTGGCTGCAAGCAAACCTTGGGGACGAGGTGAACCATATTAAAGGGCTTAGGGTTCATATAGCCTTAAAATAAGAATTATAGTAGTATAGGGTACATGACCCCGACCCTAGGGTTCATATCACCTTAATAGGAATTATAGCAGTATAGGGTACATGGCCCCAACTTGAGGGTTCATGAGGTCCCCAAGGAACATAGCCCTTGTCACCGAGCACGAAGTGGGTGTCTGGGCTGACCTCCAGGGAGGCTTCGCATGGCGGCTTGTAGGGTTTAGGGTTTAGGGTTTAGGGTTTAGGCTTAGGGTTTAGGGTTTAGGCCTCCGTCTGCCCATCGACGCCCTTGGAGTTCATGAAGCGGAGCCTTGAGGGGACGAAAGTAGCCCGAAAATTGGGGTTGTATACCCTGTACTACTGCAATTCCCGTTAAGGTATATGAATCACCCTAAACCTTAAACCCTAAACCCAAAACCCGAAACCCTAACAAAAAAACCTAAAAACCCTAAAAACCCTAAAAGCCCTAAAAACCCTAAAAACCGAAAAACCCTAAAAGCCCTAAAAACCCCAAAAGCCCTTTAAACCCTAAAAAACCTTTCAGGAGTTCATTTCGTCCCGAAGGAGCTGGAAGCCCCAGTCATCTGCTTCCGCGCTGAAGTCTGCCACGTGCTCCTCTTACTGTTGGTTAGTAGGGAGTGGGGGAATGAGTATATCCCCCCCTAAACCCTAAACCCTAGACCCTAAACCCTAACCCTAAACCCTAAACCCCAAACCCTAAACCCTAAACCCTAAACCCTACACCCTAGAGGGTATACTTAGGGACCTAAGTCCCTCCCCTCCTCCCCTGCGAACAGAAATCTCCTGGCAGAGGCGCCGCACCCTGGAGCGGTTTCCGTCGGCTGCGACGAGGCGCTGGGCCACCACCGTCTTCCTCTGGGACAGGGTTTAGGGTTTAGGGTTTAGGGTTTAGGGTTCAGGGGTTCAGGGGTTCAGGGGTTCGGGGGTTCAGGGGTTCAGGGGTTCAGGGTTCAGGGGTTCAGGGGTTCAGGGGTTCAGGGGTTCAGGGGTTCAGGGGTTCAGGGGTTCAGGGGTTCAGGGGTTCAGGGGTTCAGGGGTTCAGGGGTTCAGGGGATCAGGGGTTCAGGGGTTCAGGGGTTCAGGGGTTCAGGGGTTCAGGGGTTCAGGGGTTCAGGGGTTCAGGGGTTCAGGGGTTCAGGGGTTCAGGGGTTCAGGGGCTTAAGGTTTAAGGTTTAGGGTTTACCGTTTGGGGTTTACGGTTCAGGGTTCAGGGGCTTAAGGTTTAGGGTTTAGGGTTTACGGTTGAGGGTTTAGGATTGAGGGTTTAGGGTTTAGGGGTTGAGGGTTTAGGGTCTGGCCCCTTCTAAAGGCTTCTGAACAAAGATTCCTGAATGTGAATCCTCTTAAACCCCAAGAAGGTGAAATAATCCTGAACATGAACCCTCTTAAACCCCAATAAGGGGAAATATACAAAAACGTCGCCCTAAACCCTAAACCCTAAACCCTAAACCCTAAGCCCTAAGCCCTAAGCCCTAAACCCTCAACCCAGAAAAAAAAAAAAAAACGACTCCGAGCTTCTTGGAGCCATCCGGTAGCTCGAAGGTGCAGGTGTGGGTCTCGAAGTCGATGCCTGAGACCCGAGAGCAGCCTAGGAATAAAAAAGGTACCCTTTCTAAGGGCTGCTAGGGGATTATAAAGGGAATAAGGGTAAAAAAGGTTGCCCTTTTTTACCCAAAATAAGGGAAATAAGGGCCTACTCCGGGTCCTAGATACCTGTGAGCTTGTGGTCCCAGAAGAAGGAGATCTTCTCCTGGGCCTCTGCGGACTCCAGGAGCACCTGTTGGGAGGCTCCCGCCTTATACTGACAGCTCCTTGAGAGGGATGATATGAGGGGGGGATACTAGAATCCCTCTTTAAGGCGCTGTTAGTATAAGGGGGAATTTAGGCTTTAGGGTTTAAGGTTTAGGGATTCAGGGTTTAGGGTTTAGGGTTTAGGGTTTAGGGTTTAGGGTTTTTGGAACATCCCAAAGCACCTGGGCCGCCTGGTCCCGCATGATGCAGGTACCATACGTGGGCACTTTCGCGACGGTCCGGTTGCCGGGCACGATGTGCAGCTCTTTCACGGACCTTAATGGCTTATATAGGGGCTTGACAATATGAAGCACAAAATGCAAAAAACACTGCGCAAACGGAAAAAAGTGTTAAACAGATAATTGAGAACATGTGACATATTTGTATACACTATTGAATACCATCATTATGATAGAGGACATTAACGTATGCTACAATACAACTACACACTGCGTAGTACATACCATATATAACCACGTATCACCTTCGAACGGGCATTATACCGAAGTGTGCATATGACTATTATTGTCTTAAATGTGTATTTATCCTGCAAGAAAGCCATCATTAGGCTGACATATATATGTATATAGAAATTGTGTATTACACGCAATAAACGAACAAAACTATTGTGCTACATATTGCATACTGCGTTGCACGCAACATAATACATACTGCATTAGATATATCTATCTATCCATCTATCTATCTATATTTACATACATATATATATATATATGTATGTGCTTACATTTTGAATGTTGTTTGTCGGCGCTCTTCTGCCCCCAAGGGGCAGGCCGATCTCCTTCGCCTTCGCGACCACCGCCGGGTCCAGGGACTCCAAGGCGGCCAGGCCCCGCGCGTTCAGCACCACCTGGAGTCGTTCTTTTTGAATCTACCACTTGCGCTTAAGAGACCCCCCCCCCCTCAACAAAAAAAATGAAAAAATCATAATAAGCACAGTAACACACAATATGTACAACATACGTATATATATATATATACTTTTTTTTTCCTGATAAGGGCAAGATAGGGATCCGTTTTCAATTTTTGGTGGGGGTTCTTGTAAGGGAGTAACCAGTGGGATTGTAGGGTCCAGGTTTTGTGACATGGAGGGTCGACATTTCAGTACTCAAGTTCTCAGTTCAATCAGCCACGCTGACCTCCCGACCAAATCCTGACCCTCATCACGCCAGCTTAGCTTCCCAGGGCGCACCGGATAAGAGCCGAAGACGTTTTCCGGTCGTGGCCGGCCCTCAAAGACGGCCACACGCGCTCCGGCCTGGTTTGGGCTGGGACTTTCAGGATTTAGGGGGATTTAGGGTTTAGGGCTTCAACCCTGGCATTGGGGGAATCCAGGGCCTTACTTGGTAGTCAGGGGTAGCTCTACAAAGAAAAAGTAGGGCGACTATAGAGCTCTGAGTGGCTGTAACCTGGGGTTCTTATAACAGGGTCTTGCCTAAACCCTAACCCTAAACCCTAAACCCTAAACCCTAAACCCTAAACCCTAAACCCTAAACCTGCTGTTCAGGGTCGCTTCGGGAGTTCTCCTCCGGATCCCTGCTTCGGTTCCCGCTCGCTTCGCTAGGCAGGCATGACAAGGTGCGCTTGCTGCCTTAAACCCTAAACCCTACACCCCTAAACCCTAAACCCCAAACCCTAAACCCTAAACCCTAAACCCTAAACCCTAAACGTTAAACGCTAACCCTAAACCCTAAACCCTAAACCCTAAACCCTAAACCCTAAACCCTAAACCCTAAACCCTAAACCCTAAACCCTAAACCCTAAACCCTTGCCTTCGCGATGAAGCCGGCGGCTGCGAGGCCAGCCGGCCCGGCGCCAATGACGACGTATTCCGCCTGGTCTGATTTTGGGGGATTTGGGAAAATAGGGGTTTAGGGTTTAGGGTTTAGGGTTTAGGGTTTAGGGTTTGGGGGTTCCATTTTCGGGGATTCTATTCTGTTTGGGGTCAAAACGTGGTTCCCCTATTTTGGGAAACGCCCATTTAGGACTTAGGGCGAGGGGTTGACAGGCACTAGATGGTCACGTCTCTATGTTCTGGTCCCGTTATGGTGGTTGCTATGATAAGGCGGCCCCTAATATGCAAAGTGCCCAAAAAAGGGATCATCATTTTGAGACCTGACCATGTAGGTGTTTTTGTCTAACCCTAAAAAGCCCTAAAGCAACTTAGGGAACCCTAAACCCTAAACCCTAAACCCTAAACCCTAAACCCTAAACCCTAAACCCTAAACCCTAAACCCTAAACCCTAAAAAGCCCTAAAGCAACTTAGGGGGCAGGTTCGGGATGCCACGTTCTGAAACAACTTGTGGTTTAGGGCCCCAAGGCCTGGTAGTCCAGGAAGCATATTGTCACCCAGGGGGTCCCGGGGTGCAGGGTTTAGGGTCTCGAAAAAGGAGTATGATGGTTGGGAAACAGTGTGTAGAGTGTACAAATATTCGGACCCTGAACCCTAAAACCCTAAACTCCTAAAACCCTAAACCCTAAACCCTAAACCCTAAACCCAAAATTGCAACTGGGCCCTCCGCCTGGATCGACATTCGGCTGGTGAGGCACTTGGGAATCAAAGCGACTCTCTACAGATTCGTAGGGATGTTGGCTTGAGCCTCTGAGAACACCTTCTTGGGGGTTTAGGGTTGGGGGTTTAGGGTTTAGGGTTTAGGGTTTAGGGGGATTTCCGGGAAACCACCAAATCTGCGACCAGAAGCAACCTGGTTTTGCTCCGAAGCTGGCAGGGCTTAGAGGAGGTAATATAGGAGCCTTAAGAATTAGGGGGTTAGTATAGTAGAAGTATCTAGGCGACATAAGGGGATAACATGAGTAGTAGTTACCGACCCCTAAAGTGGCTAGCGTTTAGGGTTTAGGGTTTAGGGCTCAGGAGCTCACCTTCCGTCCCTTGCAAGCGAGTGCTTCAAACGCTCTGAGATACTTTTCCTTTGCAGATGCCCCGCATGAGCGTCCGTTTTGCGCATTTGCAGGTGGAGGGAGCACATTCTAATCTAACGGCAAAAGAACCCTAGCCTCACGTATCGCCGGTCCCCAGCAGGCTACTGCGGCTACCGCAATCTCAAGGCCAACTGTCCTGTACCGCTACGAACCACTGAACAGTTGATGAACTTGGAGATGCACGTGGGGGAACGAACTATTACCAATATGGGAACGTGAACTCCTCAAGAGCATCTGGTGTGGCTGCTTGAGTGGCGCTGACAAATGATACGCCTAAACTCTTCCCCCTATAGGTGCTGAAGCCCTCCAAAGCAACTAATTTAATTGATGCATGTGTGTGTGTGTGTGTGTGTGTGTGTCTGGCTTTGTGTGTGTGTGTGTGTGTGTGTCTGGTTTTGTGTGTGTGTGTGTGTCTGGTTTTGTGTGTGTGTGTGTGTGTGTGTGTCTGGTTTTGTGTGTGTGTGTGTGTGTGTGTGTCTGGTTTTGTGTGTTTGTGTGTTTGGGTGTTTGTGTGTTTTGTGTGTTTGTGTGTTTTTGTGTTTTTGTGTTTGTGTGTTTATGTGTTTTGTGTGTTTGGTGTGTGTGTGTGTGTGTGTGTTTGTGTGTGTGTGTGTTTGTGTGTTTGTGTGTGTGTGTTTGTGTGTTTGTGTGTCTGCGAGTTTGTGTGTTTTTGTGTTTGCGTGCGTGTGCGTGCACGCGTGTGCGTGTGCGTGCACGCGTGCGCGTGAGGGCGCGGGCGCGGGCGCGGGCGCGGGCGTGGGGTTGGGTGTGGGTGTGGGTGTGTGCATGTACGCTGATCACAAACGTTGCGACCAGATCTTGGGAAGCCGCCCGTCAGCATTCAATCAGATTTGTCTAGAACATCCTGCTGTCTGCTGCAGCAGGACTTGCCTGCGCCACAGTCCAAGTCGCTCCGAAACTCCGGCATCTCGTTTTTGTATAGGGTCGAGGGTCAAGGGTCTAGGGGAACGGAAGAAATCACACCATCGGTCTCCAGGATAATTAGGAGATCTGAATCGAATCGTCACTGGTGCCATAGCCCCGGATTGATGAGGGTTTAGGGTTTAGGGTTTAGGGTTCAGGGTTTCGTTATCATATCTCCAGATTTTAAGGTTTAGGGCTTTAGGGCTTAGGGCTCAGATTCGATCTAGAGTCAAGAGGTGAAAGGTGTTACAGGTGAAATGAAGCGTTTTTTTCCAAGACATGAGACAGAGCGTTGCAAGGCACGACAGCCAGAAACAGTATTGGCTGGGAGAAGTTCATCTTGCAGCAAAGCCCGGCATTTACAGGCTAAGTTTGGGATGCTCCCCCTTATACTAACAGTCCTGGGGTACTATAATCCCAATTGAGGAGCTGTTCAAGGCCAAACAGCCAAATGTCAGGTCATAGTGTGCTGTATCAGGCATTGACAGGGTCTCAATGTGAGGGTTTACGATATTAGTGGTGCCATCTTGGGGTCCTTGTTATAAGGGGATCCTACTATTTAGGGGGGTCTATATAAGGGGTCCCTTATTCGTAAACCCGAATGTCTGCTAAGCCAAGGACCACTTTCACTACTGGATCTATGGTCGAAAGCAGGGTCCTGGAGTCTTCGGGGGGCTCTGATGATCACACCCCACTGGCTGGTGAAGCTCGGACTAGGAACCCTAAACCCTAAATCCTAAACCCACGAGCAGAGTTCCGGGAGATATGGACATCCGCGCAGCTTCGAGCAGCTCCTGTCTCCAGTCAGTCCCACGAAGCAGCTCGCAGTCGATCCAAAAACATGTCCTTGCTTGTTCCTGCCTGGCAGCTTCTTGTTTAGGGTTCAGGGTTTAGGGTTTAGGGTTTGGGGTTTGGTGCCTACATGCTGTTCTCACACCTGTAAAACTGCCAATGTAACCCACAGCTAAGCTGAAGCCTTGGATTCAACAACCACCATTTGTGCATTGTCACACCAACCTCCAACAGATGCTCGCACAGCTAACTCCAGACCAATGCCACAGCTGCCACTTAGGGTTTAGGGTTTCGGGTTTAGGCAGGGTTTAGGTGAAGAAGAGCTGAGCCGTGTGGACGACTGGGCATCACTAGCCCTTCTGACGACAATGGATCTGAGAGCCAGAAAAGTGCCACAGAGTGACAAACTCTCCAACAGCTTCAGCTGTACAAGAGGGTCCGGCTTGCGTGCGGCGCGTTTTTTCTGGCCAACCTCTGCAACAACCCGAGCCTCATCACCGGACCGTGAAACCTAAACAAAAGCAAGAAAGATAACAATACAATGATTTAATACGATATAGCTCCAATACGAAAACACTACAACACTATAAGGTTATGACAACATCATAGCACACTGGCCATGGCGTCGTATCAATAACATACTAACATCATAAGACGACAGGCCAGACATACCAGACCATTAAAATGCTAATACAATACTAAAACTAGTATAAAACCGAATAGTCTAGGAACGGCAGAGGTGTTTTTTTTCCTAACGTTGGCCCTGGCTGGTTTAGGAACATAGTAACATAAACAAAAATGACACAACGATAAAACCACATACACCTTAAACCCACAGTAACATAACACCATGACAATATAACAATACGACAAAATACTAACACAAGCCTTAAAAACCCTGAACTGCAGCTTCGTGCTCTTTCTCCGAGCTGGACCAAAGGCATTGGGGTGAAGACGGTCACTCAGGCGAGACCTGGCCCAGCTTCTGTAGGGTTTGGGGTTTGGGGTTTGGGGTTTGGGGTTTAGGGGTTTAGGGTTTAGGGTTTAGGGTTTTTTGGGTTTTTTGGTTTTTTTGGGTTTTTTGGGTTGTTAGGGTTTTCAGGGTTTTCAGGGTTTTCAGGGTTTAGGGTTTTTGGGTTTTAGGGTGTTTGGGATTTCTGGGGTTCAGGGGCTTTGGCTCTGGAGCTTAAATCCCAGTGCTTCGTGAGGGTTTAGGAAGTTTTGGGGCCAATTCGCCAAGGAGGCTGGAGATTTCCTGCAACCGGGATCCCAAATAGGGTTTAGGGTTTAGGGTTTAGGGCTTAGGGTTTAGGGTTTAGGGTTTAGGGTTTAGGGGAACCTGATGATTTTGTTCCGGAGTTCCTGCGCGGCTCACGCTGCGAGTCCAGCGGACAGCGCCCTGCGTGTGAATGTCAAATCTAGGGTTTTAGGCTTCAGGAAGCAAGTTGCAGTGGCAAAAAGAACCTACACCCCAAAACCCAAAACCCTGACAAGCCTACACCCCAAAACCCAAAACCACCAAGGCTGCTCTGAAACCCTAGGCCCTCAGCCTCCAGCCCTAAGCCCGAAATCTTAAGCCCTAAGGCCCAAGCGCTAAACCTCAAAAGCTGATACAAGGGGCGCAGAGGGATTCAGAGATGTATGGCTTATAGGCTAGGGTCTAGGGTTTAGGGTCTAGGGTTTCGGGTCTAGGGTGTAGGGTCTGGGGTTTAGAGTCTAGGGTTTAGGGTCTCGGGTGCAGGGTCTGGGGTTTAGTGTCTAGGGTTTAGGGTCTAGGGTTTAGGGCCCCTCCAAACGTGAACCGAAAGTCTAACCCCACAAGTTCGGCCCGAAGTCCCGAAATGCTTTGCCCCACGGCTTCGGAGCCCGTAATTGGGGAAGTAAGGTACCCTCTATCCCCCTATATGTACCCTTTAAGGGATTATATAAGGTACCTCTAAAAATACCCTTTAAGGGATTATATAGGGTACCTCATTCCCCCTAAATATACCTTTTAAGGGATTATATAGGGTATCTCAGTCCCTCATTCCCGACTTGCCAACAGTAAGAGTCGAGCCTCATGCACAACATCCCGCCGCGGGCTTTTCACCCTGGCCGCGGTGGTTTAGGGTTTAGGGTTAAACGGCTTAGGGTTTAGGGTTTCGGGTTGGCTTATCTTGGAGGCTCCTTAAACTTACACGGAGGCATTTTTTGGGGAAGGAAAAATCCCAAAAGCTCCACTCACACCCCTGAATGCTGAGAAATCCAAGCCCTCCTGCCTCCTTCTTTCCGGGTAAGCCCGAACGTTCACATGGGGGTTTACGAAGATCGGGGACCCCTCCCCAAATAATCGGATCTCCTTGTAACCAGGACCCCAATAAGGTACCCCTAGTATCCCAAACCCCCGAGCACCCGTGCTTTCAGCGACTGTTCTCATGACGGCGCTCATCAGCTTCTGGCAACGACATCTGCACAACTGCTTAGAGCGCGCACGCGCCCGAAGTTGATAAGACACACTACTTCCCAAGCATGCCAATGTCCAAGCCCTATAACCAGAACATGAAGGCTAATAACGGACATTAGAATATCATGACAATGATGAGTATGATTCCCTCAAAAACGGGTCCAAAGCTTCCATGGGCTGTCAGTGATGAAGCTTGCTGTTGTACAGAGCCAATGCACCCGACCCCGCCCCCCCTAAACCCTATAGCCTAGACCTTATGACCCTGTGTAAACCCGAAACCTGCCGTGTAACTGGCTGCCTCTGGCAAGCCGCCGATCCGCAAGCCGTCCTGCAATCCATTCTCTTGGTTACCTCAGAGTCAGGAAAGAGTGCATACATAACAGTATACAACAGCATGCAACAGTTCATAACAGTATATAACAGCAAGGGACAATA